AAAAAGACCCAAATAAGAAAAAAAACAAATGATTGTTCTGCACTCAGAGAGCAGACTGAGCCAAAGCAGTGATACAGATAGAGCCATGGAACAAACTAGAGCAAGGGAGAGGAGAATGAGAGCTCCAGGGGTTTTGGTGATGGCAATTACTTTTTGCCCGTCAGTCAACAGATTCCTGCTTCTAGGGTGTTTGCAGACAGCAGCCTGAGAGCGTTTTGTTTAAAGCTGCCATTGCTCATGGCCAGCGTTTGGTTCAGTTTCTCGGTTATGTTCAGTTGGTCGGCACACGTGGGTTTTTGCTTTAAGTGTGGATTGAAAGATGCTTGCCTGTGCTGGAATGTAGTTTTCATGGATGTATTTGGAACTTTTTCAGCTACTTTGGAGAGAGAAAGCGGTCACTCCACCATTAATTACCTTCTCTTGGACTGGGAGGACAGTAAGCCCCAAGCACTGGGTTCCCAAGCAAGTTTCTGCGTAAGGAACCAGCGATTAAACAGGCGTTGGTAAGTGTTCTTCTGCAGCACTGAAATGCAGCAGTGTTTCAGTATGGCAGGTGCTCCCATCCTCAGCCTTCCTATCCATTTCCTCACTGCAGGCTCTCCAGCCAACAGCAGCAGCAGTAAGCAAGGACAAACCCTTGAATGCAAATCCCGGCGTCCCGTCTGGAAGTGCTCCAGCTGTGGGGAGCTCTGCTGCTGCCTCCAGTCCTCCTGCCCTCAGGGTGACGTCCTCGCACAGCTGTCCCCATCCCGTTGGCACTGGGGATTCTGCAGCTCCATCCGCAGCCTCACTTCACGCTCCTGGAACAGCCGCTGGCCGTGGACTTCGGGGCTTCCGGGCCCTGCGAGCCCTGCTGCAGCAAATCCTTCCAGCACCGCTCTGCTTGCTGTCGCTGCTCCCAAGGCAGCTACGGAACCTTGTCAGGTGCAAGCAGTGCTTTGGCCGCACCGACAGCTGGTGCCTCTGCGCACAGCGCCGCGTCCGCACCTCCTGCATCCCCACACAGCATCAGGGCAGTCACACACACCGAGGAGTGAATTAACAGCCGCAGAGAAGAAGCAGTTGAGAGCCAAGAAGATCACACTAGGAAAGGTCCTTCTGAAGCCACCACCAGCAGACCTTATACAAGATAAGGATTTAAATTAATTCTGAAGCTCTGTGCCATAATTCAACAGCATCCGGGCTGCCTGTGAAGCTCTGTGCCTTAACTCAACAGCATTTGGGCTGACTCTGCAGCAGTTAATTATATTTTTTAAACACGTGAAACTTGTAGTAGTTTGACCTCATTACTACAGGATTACTAATTAAGTTTTCTGCAGTGCAACTCAATACAACACAGTGCAGAGAAGTTCAGGTTTTGGTATCAAGGAGGCTAATTTTGGATTTCATGGGAAAGGACCAAACACAGGATCACCACAGGTCTGGCACAGCACAAACAAACCTGTTGCCACGTGCATGTGAACAAATGAGGACATTTCTGTTTGTATTTGGTGTTTTTTTTTTTTTTTCCACGCACTGCTTCAGAAATGGCTAGCTTAACTGCTTGCACTCATGCTCATTTTGATATGCCCAACAAGCTTTGTCTGGCACCAATCTGTAAACCATTAACAGCCTGAACTACAAAAAAAGGGGGCTCCTGTGTTTCAAGGAGGTGAAGAACCCACTGACTGAGCTTCAAACCACATTCGTGTGCCTGTGAGAAGAACTGTTCCGTGGCGTGTGAAGTTCTCTGGGAAAAGTCCTTTACAACCATTTCCATCTCTGTGCTGAAGGCACTCAGATTCCTTAATGCCTGTCAAGCAGCCTCCTGAAAGAGAAAAGACAGAGCATCTTCAGGGTCAGCTCTCTCCCATTCCTTTCTGCAGACTCCAGGCCCGGAGAAGTTTTAGAGTCATGCGGCTGAAAGAAGTGGTGATTTGTTACACAGCATACTCTGATTTTGCACAGACTGTTTTCTCTGTTCTGCCATGGTGTTGTGAGACTGTGAGCACATTGGATGGCCTTCATCCCACCTAACCTCCAACTGAACTGAAAATTGGATGATCATGTCATCAGGTATCAGAAAACGTTAGCCTATAGCTAGGCCGATTTTAAAGAATGGTGGAGGTCAATATAAAAACCACATTCTGTCAATTCAATTGGCTTCAGGAAGTTTTTAACACTAAAGAAAAGCTATTTTCTAAGTACCAGTGTCACGCTGAGTTTAGCAGAAATTCAGTTCACAGACTGATGCTCTGTTTCCTCAGTTTGATTTTCCACCCAGGAATGAGACTAATGCAGCTCTCTGAGCTCAACTTGAACTGCCTGCATTTGTTCACGATCATTCTTCAGTCATTGTTTTTCAGCTCTATCTACCCCTAGTGGCTGACATCAACTGATGTGGTGAATAAATTCTTCTGCAGCCCTTGAAAGCAGGAAATACTCCAGTGTTTTGCAGAAACCACTGGAGAAGTTTTAGCTTGAACTGAAAATTCTGCTAGGGAAGGATGCTCTGCCACAAACAGAAGCATTATCAAAAGATATGGACAGATGTTGACATCTTCTCCTGTGACTTGTAAGGCATGCAAACCTGTCTCACAGAGTATTACCAATTTAGCAGTCTTGACCCATATTTATTCAAATAAATGGTGGATATAAAAGCCTTGGAAGAGACCAGTATGAAAGGAGAGGAACAGAATGCCTCTCAGATTGATTTCATCACATGTGCTTCTAACAGCATGCTGCACACACTGATCTTGCTGCCTGCTGTGATTAGGATCAACATTTATTTTCTATTTACTGCATTTGTATAGCCAATTTTCTTTTACGGTGGAGGAGAATTTTGATTTACATGAGTCGGCTCACAGTCAGCACTGAAAGGGTGATGCTCTCAATAGCTGTAGCTGTAACTCACTGAAGGCACAGCAGACTCACATATGCAGAACTGGGTATTTCCCGTGCCTTAGAATACAGAACCAAAGCAAGATAGATAATTAAAAAATGGCTTTTACAAAAGCATGTGTGCTAGTGCTGAATGAATCTCACTATTAGTATCAAATGTCTTTGATAAAGAAAAAAACCCACAAAACTAAACTAAAAAGAGGGAGACTCAATTCCACTGAAATCAGACCAAGAATCCCACACCTAGCTGCAATGGGCCACGTACTTGCAGGTATTTCCTGTCTTCTTTTGAGAACCAACTCTACAAACCTGTTCTCCATACCAATGCACAGACTAAGAGTATCCTAAGCCAGCTATCTGCGGAAGTGTTACTGAAATCTGCACAGCCACACAGGACAAAAAACAAGGGCCATCCAATGTAATGAAGGCTGTGATAACAGAGCCACGTGGCTTTGAGTTGCAGTAAAAGTGAATGCTTCTTCACGCAGGCTGCAGCTGGCTGCATTATCCTCTAACATAACTGTCAGCTCAGTGCAATGCCCAGATTCAGCAGCAGCAAGAATGAGGCCATGAAGAGGAGGAGAGCAGCCGAGTCTGCAGCTGGGGGTCTGGGAGGAGCTCACTGAGCTCTCCCCATTTTCCAGAGCTGAAGATCTTGCTCCACGGCTTGATTTAGAAAAGGACTGGGTAATTTTTAGGACAGTTAGTTATAATTACAGCTCAGGCGTCTCATATAAGATCAAGAACTAATTATCATGCTTTAGTGAGCACACCAACTGCTTGCAAAGTCTTGGAAGGCTTTTGGAGTAACACTGAAGAACTGGTTATGAAAGTTGCCTCAGAAGGACAGTCCTCCACTGGAGCCAGGATATCAGCTTAGCAAACAGCCTGATCCCTGACAGCATCTCTTCTGCATTCAGTAATACTGCTCCTCTAAGCAGGTTAAACTGATCAGATAAAAGTTACTTTACAAGGGCACCTAGTTTGGAACAGAGGAAAGTTTCATTTCAAAGGCTGTACTGCTGCAACAGGCAGTTTCTAAGGTAGGTCTTGCATTGAATGAGAAATGTTCTGGTACCACAGCTGGGTCACAGTCACATTGTATTGTCTGCACATTGATTACATGCAGATGACATATATATATTTTTGCCACGCTCCTCTTGAAGATATTAAAGCACAACCACATTCCTGAGGCTGCTCATACGTACCTCGCTCTCTTCCTCAGCAATTCCAGTTGTCTCCTTATCCCCTGCCCTGATACTCTCCTGTACAAAGAGGAAATATGGTCACCATCTTACTCATGCTGAGGGAATGACTGCAGGGAAATTGGCATTAATCAAGCTCAGTGGAAGAATGGCATGTATGGGATGCGATGAAATGAATGGTGGGAACTAAATGGGACAGCACACAGGGAGTGGAAAGATTCTCGCTGCTATATATCTGAAATAAAGGTAGCTATAAGATAACAACAGAACAAAAACAGCAAAAAACCACGAGAAATAAAGCCTGTTAATTACATAATGATCACCACACTGGAAGAGCTAGTGTCAATTTTATGTACCTTTGCTATCAGTATTCTCATAATAGCACCATACTGGATGAATGTTTTTATTAAGCAACGGCCCAGAACATTGCTGACCTTACAGTTTTCCAGCTACCTCACATTTCTCCCACCCAAGACTCAGAATGTTCCCATCATAACCTGCTGCTGCCCCTGCAACTCACCAGTTTGCAGGAAAACTTTGTGGAACACTTCTTCCACACACGTTGGGCTGAAACACACGGCAGGGGATTGTTCAAAGAGGTGGGTCACAAAGCTCACCAGGTTTTGCAGAATCACTTTCCTCCACGTCCACACTCAGCTGCACATGCAGTGGGTGCCTGACATTTAAAACAGCAGACATTGTCAGTGGCTCTAAATCTGGCACCCATGAAGATGCCCAAGGGATCAATTGCTCTGAACAGTGATGCTCTCCACCCCAAACAATACTTCTTACAGCACAGATGGGATCTAACACAAGGTCCTTTCTTACAGAAGCTGCAAAACTGCACGAGTTCCAGGTTTGGAAGAGGAAAAAACGTACAATTTCCTAAACTCTGTGGGACAGTTGTGCTCCTGCTGGTTTCCAATTCTACTGTAGCATTTTGGGATTCAGCAACATCCCTTCTGCTTGAGCTTGGATTCAGTTCTGGCTATTGCTCAGCCTGCATCAAGAGGTTCAGGTCCAGTTTAGGTCAACAAACAGTCAAGATGGCTGTAATTCATGTCTCGTTTGGAAGACTTGGAAGTGCTTTTCTCTTCTGCTCAGCCTTGGCTTCCTGCAGATTGCAGAATATTTCTAAAAATGCTTTTCAGAGGAAAAGTAAATCTAAGCCCCCTTATAGAAATCTCTTTCGCTAATAAATGTTGAGGCTGCTCTGCAAACATACATATGTCAGAGTTTTCAAAAGCCCTGTAAGGGTGAAGACAAGTCATGCAGATCTGTGTGAGTGCAGGTAGAGCAGATCGCCATCTTCAGCACTTGTGATCAGACCTCAGTGCTCAGCCTCCAGCTCACTGCCTCCACACACCTGCCACACCAAAATTCCTGCACGTTTCATCTGAAATGCTTGCATGTTATCTTGTTTAATAAAAGGATGCTGAGTTAATCCAAACTTCACTTCACTCGTGTTTTCTAAGCTCATCTTCCTGCAGTCACCTCATAAGACCCAGACCTGCCCAGATGCCAGGGCAAGGCAGCTGCTGACAGCAGTGTTACCATGCAAACCCCTCACAGCTTCATCCTGCTAAAACTGCAGTGTGACATCACCTTTTCTTTTATACATACAGGATTAATTCTTCTTTCAAGCTGCCAAACCATGCTGGGAAGACCTGATTTCTACATTAATTTTAAAACAGACTGTAGAGGGTCTTGAACAGAAAAAAATCCCACGAGCTTCAATGAACTTCAAAATATAATTATTTTTACTCTAGCAAAGCATGCATGCTTGCTACAGCATGTTGCTCTTTTTTTTTTTTTTTTAACAGGAGAGGTAAACAAATATTTCCATTGCCTCATAAAAGTCTGATGGCAATGGCAAGTTGGTACAGAAACAGGAGATGGACACGGGGGACAGATCACTCACTGCAGCCTGCTCTGTTGGCTCATCTGGCTCAGCAGGGATGGCCTCCTTTCCCACAGCAGCAGCAGCAGGGGTTTCCTCCACCTTGACTTCCCCAGGTGGAGCTTCTTCAGCCTCAGGCTTTTGTTTTACTGATTTCTAAGGAAACAGTGAAAAATTTGTTGAGGAGCTCATGATGGTAGGGAGGGAAGAAGGGAATGGGAGCTCTGCCTGGCACTGCAGTGCTGCTGCACTCCTAGCAGACTCAGTGCCAATGGCTTTGCCAGGAAGAGGACAGCCTTACATTACTAATGATCATCTACAGAGCATCTTCATTCTCAGCGTCCTGTACAGAAACTGAGTCAGCCCTACATCCCTCCCTTGCAAGGACAGAGAGTGCTGGCTTCCTGAGTTATTGAAAGCAGCAGCAGAAATGGGGGAGAAGTACCCAGTTTGCTCAGAAATGCTCTAGAAAGTGAGGGCAAAGTGAGGAGAGTCCCAAATTATGATTTCAAACAGGATTTTTTAAAATTATCCCCTATCCCCCTAATTCCACTGGTTCTCAGACAAAAAGATCCCTTCTCTGTTGAAGGTAAGAAACATGTTGCAGACTCTGTTTTCACATAGGCAAGTACTAACTGCATGAATTCTGACACTGAACATCATAGAATCATAGAATGGCTTGAATTGGAAGGGACCTAAAGACCATTCAGTTCTAATCCCCCTGCTATGGGCCACCCATTAGATCAGGATGATCAGGACCAGAGGCACCCAGAGCTTCTCCAGGCAGCCTGTTCCAGTACCTCACCACCTTCTGAGTGAAAAAAAAGTCATCCCTAGTTTCTTTTAATGCTTATTGCATCCTGAGACCTCAATCACCTGCAAAGCTTCCGTTTATCGGCCACGCTTCTTCTGCAATGCTTACCCTCTAAAATTCTGGCCTATGCTTATTCTTTAGGAAGCGTATCTGGTAAACATCACCAGTCCTGCACGATGTTTGGTCCTGCAGCAAAACAGCTCCCAGCAAAAGTGCTATTTCTGCTGGGGACAAAGCCTTGCAAACACACACAGCTAAAGGAGAGAGCTGCAAGCTGTGCTCAGCATATTCCATCACTCAGCCAGACTAAATAACCCCAGTAGATCGATTTGCCATGAACACATTGCTCAGCATAACATGAACCCCAAAAGCTATCCAGCTGCTTTGCAGTTGATAAGATGCAGCTGCTCAGAAGGCCTTCTGTAATGAAGAGACATCTCTGAAATTCTTCAAAATACGAAAATCTGCTCCCTGACATTTTTCAGAAAACAACAACAAAACAAAACCAAACAGAAAAACCCACAACCACACCAAAACGTGTCCTTTCCATTCCTTCCTCATCTATTCCTTTAGCAGGCTTGTTTTTAATGAGGTATAGAGAAATCTGCCCAAGCACCACCTTCAGGATTTGGCAAAGAATAAAGAAACCACGCTGTGCAGAAGTCTGTCCTGTGTGATAATACCAGTTCCAAGGACTTTCACAAAGAAAAAACATGACTGTAATGAGAAACAAAAGGCAGATTTGTCCCAGGTCAGATGGCTAATGAGTTTCCTGGGGCTTAACACTGGAAGGAACTTTCAGGCTTAAAATCAGAGGTAATGTGTTTGTTACAATGCAGATTGCACTGATGTGCTCTGAGTCACTTGTGCACAAGCAGTCTTTAGGCTACTTGCCATCTGAACTACAAACACAAATACTCAGAATGCTCTCACGGTGCTCAGTGACCAAAGGTACATCAACAAACAGAATCACTCTTTTGCTCTCAGTAACAGCAGCGTTCAACCAGCAATGCTGCCACTCCATATCCTTCATTCAGGCTAACTGGGGGCAGCAAGAGGAACCCAGAAACCACCAAAGTATGATCGCTTTCAACAGTATTCCCCCCCTTAAAAGATGCTACCTACTAAAAAATGGAAGATAGATAAAGCTGCAGTGATATGAGAGGTATGTGTACCGACAGCACATGTGAGCACTTCCTTGCTGTCCATTGCACCAAAGCACTCATTCTTGCTTTTCTTAAGTGCAATAAATAAGTAAACTGTACCTTCAAAAATTATCAGTATCTAGGCATCCTGTTTTTCCTTTTTTGCAGTGCTATCCTAGTGAAAGACTTTCAGAAAGTAAAGATTTACAGCTGCAATGCTATAACCCACCTATTCTTTCAGGTCAAGATTTAATGAATTAGAGGATGGAAAACACCCATGTTTTTGTACAAAGGAGCAAATATTTTTGTACAAAGCAAAAAACAGTACCCTTTTTTTTTTACACACCATTTAGAAAAGAAGCAAAATCCACCACTTACCAGAGTCTCTGTCACATTCTCATTTGATTGCACTGTAAATGCGGTGGTATCCTACCTATAGAAAATAAAAACAACGCAGCAACAATATTTGTCATGGGATGTATCCAGTAAAGACCTGATTTTTTATGGTTTACTCAGGCATAACCATCAATAGCTGAGCTTGGATGGAAAATCGATAACCTAAATAGGCATGAATATTAATATTAAAGACCTTCCTTTTTCAAGAGTGTGCCACGACTCTAAAATGTTTCAAGTTGTTCAAACAGGTGAAGAATCCTTCACTGAATAGAAGTGAATTGCAAGGACTTCGCTTCAGGCACACTGCACTTCTGAACAGCGAATGCCAGAAGTTTATTTTGCCAGACTGCACTGCACAGGGAGCGCAGAGCTCAGAGCTCCTTACACATCCTCTGGACTCTGGGCTTTTATTTGCACAGCACACACTGCTAAGGAATTAGAGAGGTGAAGCTTCGCATGCATTCATAAGGCACAGAAGCTGAGAACAAATTTTCCAACATCTTATTCAGAAACAATTCATTTGGAAAATGCTTTTGTTTGTTCCTGTGAGGGTGGGAAGGATCAAATTTTTATTTCACCCCCAGGTGAACACTTTCCCTTAGAGAAAGTGGTGGCAGCTTTGTATTTTGGCCCTTCCTTCTGAATACTTTACTAATGTAAAAGGCCTGGAGCAAAATTAATAAGCACTGAAAGACTCGTTTTCAGCCTTGCAGCTTTTTTGTGTGCATATCTAAAAAGCAGTGTGCAGAGCATGCTGTGGGTAAGCCAGCCTCTGAAAGGCTGCTAGAATTTAAGAAGGCCCCAGATTACCTGCATTATCACTTGGGATGGGGGCCCTGGGGTTTGAGAGCGTAAGCGTGCACTGAACTGCTGCAGTGCCTCATGCAGATCCTCAGCATTATCACAGCAGTAAATAAACAACTCAGATTTAACTCCCAGACTAAAACATGTGTTAGGTGAAAACAACATTGCAGAAACAAATAAAGCTCATTTCATGTATAAATGCATAAATACACAGAGGCACTGAACAGGTGTGAAAGCTGTGAGGAAGCCGTGCTTCACAGGCTTTTGAGATTGTTAGAAAAATCCAAAAAAAGACAGCAAGAAAAGTACTAATCCAGTTCTTTCATATGGAAAATAAGAAGACAGTCCTGCTAAGCTAGTGGGAGTTTTCCAATTAAATTCAGATAGGCCAAGAGTGCCAAGAATATCAGCAACCTTCTAGGAGCATCCAGGAAGGCTTTCTGAGGGCAGACAAGTTCAGGATTTGTGTCAGCAAGACATTATTGTGCAGCTGGTCTGCAGAGCAGAGTTTCAAAACTGTGCAACCAGTCTTAATCTCTTCCCAGCAAAACAGGAAAAACCTCTCAAAACTTGCTTGTTTCTAACCTGTGCAAATCCATTAAATGCCGTGCTGGATGCCCAAGTAGAAGTGAAGATCAGAACAAGTCATCACTTGTTACTAAATGAGAACACGGATAAAAGATTTCTATTTGCAAAATCAAAATAGGCCAGACATAAAACAAAAGAAATAACAAAAGGAAGGGCAAGGCAGAAAGATACTTGATAACAGTGCTATTCAATAAAAGATTTCACAGGCTTAAAGAGAACACTAAAATGAATAAAAAAAGCGCAGTGACTTCAGTATTTTTATAAAAAGAAAAAACTGGAGATGCATTTTAAATTATACATACAAAGTACAAAAGCTGTGAGACACCGCATGCCTTCACAGCGTGAAGCTTCATTCACCTTCCTGAAATGCATTTCTGCCAGCCTGCTTCATTACACGGCTGAAGGGCACCACACTACAAACAGCTGCGTGACAATTTTTCAAAGAACAATTGCAAGGGCTTAGGAGGGGTAGCGGGAAACACACAGATGAGTTGGCTTTAAACGACAAGGTTATGCTTGACCTAAGGAACTCTTTGTCTAGACTAGGCTATACGCTGGGGTAGGTACCTCTGCTTTATCAGCCTCCATTTCCTGGTACAACAATCCATATCTCCGGTTAGCAATTTCATCTTCAGATAAATCTGAGCTGTTAGGCCTGGCAGTGCACTGCCAGCAGCTGATCTGGCCGTCCAGGATGCTGGCACTACAGATGCTTCATTGCCAAATGCAGCAATGGGGTGTTTTGGGGAAAAGCCAACCCACGGGTATTTTTGGCACATCCATACCACAGCACCACAGGCCAGCAGCAGCGCAGACAGCAGCACAGCTGAGAACAGCACCATGGCTGCGACGTGGTGCTTCCACACAGATTTGTGAACAGCAGCCTCTGTGCTTTTCCCGCATTCATGCCTGGAAGAAACGAGACAATGTCCCACGGTCCCTTCACCTGCGCTGCAGATGATCTCCCAGTGTGCTCCACGGACCCAAGAGATTTTCATTAGCGGTGCCTCTGTCTCTGTGCCTAAGCACCAGGGCTTCCACCTCTCGCTGGGTGGGGAGAGGCTGCACAGGCACAACCCTCTGGGCCGAGGCTGTGCCCTGGGATCTGGGCTTTGTCTGTGGGGACATTGCAGAGCAGAATCCCTCACACTTTCCCCACTGTGCATGTCCCACAGGACACCCTGCACGCTGGAGGTCGGGCTCCAGCCAGCGCAGGGCACAGCTGGAGCCAGCCCAGGGGAGAAACACTCCAGCAGGTTCCTACCACACAGGACCCCCCTGAGCAGCTGATCCCAAGGGGAGCTGAGCAGCGTCACACAGGTCTGCAAGTACTTTCTCTGGCACGCCGCTGGAACAACTCTCCACACCCCACTGAGGTCAGCCATTTTCAGAGCCATCCCTGGCTTCTTTTACACGTGCTCTGTGCCCACGCGCTGGTTTGGCTGCTGAGCTGGTGTGCAAGGGCAGGCAGCAAGAGCCTGCAGGCACACAGTGACTCTGGTGAATGATGCTGGCTGAGCGCAGCACAGAAATTACCTGGCATGTCAGTTGTTGGTGCTGCCTGCGTTCCAATGTCCGAGACCAGCAGTGTGGGACGGCTGCCTTCCTGCAGTGCATCCTGCTTAGTTTCTTGTTGAGTTCCTTTAGAAAGAAAGCAGGACAGTAGGAATGGATGTGATGTGCTCTCATCGGGAACTGAGCTACTCCAATCCTTAGCTCAGGCAAAGCCTGCTGCTCCCAGCCCCCCACATCCACTGCCACCCCCTCCGTTGCCCAAGGACATTTGGGACCTCCCAGGAACTGGAGGGTGCCGACCCTCTCATGCCTCCTCAGCTCCTATATAAGGCCCTCACATCTTGTGCTGTGAACGTCACCAACCACCACAGCCAGCTATCTGCAGGCTGTGACATCATCACCCTGCGCCGCGAGACCGAGACAGCCATGCGGAAGCGGTGCGGGGCCGCGCGCTGCCTCAACGCCGCAGGGCAGCCCCGGGCTCCGAGCGCCGCCTCAGTTTCAGCTTCTACAAGTGGGTGTTTGGGGGGGCACCAGGGCGGGGGCCGCTCTGCGTTGGCCCCGTGGGGCCTCTGTGGTGCTCAGGGCCTGTGCTCGGTGTGGGGAGATGCGCTGTGTCATCCCGCCCCCAATCCAGGGTACATCGCTGCCTCGTTCCCCTCCACGGTTCGGCCAGTCCCTCTTTCTGACCCCCAGGGTCACACTCTCCCCACGATCCTCCCCAACACTGACCTTTAGAGCCCCCCCCCAACTCCAGTTCCCCCATTCCTTTTCGACCCCCCCCCCGTCTCTCCCCCAGTTCTCCATTTTTACCCTCAGGGTCCCTTCCCCACCCTCACCTCATCCCTCCCCTCCTTATTCCCCGTTCTGATCCTCTCCCCCCTTCCCAGTACCCCCCTCAGTTCCTCTTGCCTCAGATCAGATGTCCACAACATAGACACCTCCCTGTGAGGTACCTCACTACTGCTAATTAGTGAGCCACTAATGCTCACATGTGGAGATTAAGGATAGGAAGGAGCTGTTCAGATGCAAATATCTGGTGAAATGTAGGCTGTTACTCTCAGAGTGTGGAAGGACGTTCCTTTGTCCAACAACACCTGCACTGTCAGTAGATACCCACATCTGGGACAGCTGAGGCTGTCCCTGCTGTGCATAATGGGGGCAGCCTACAAAGGGATTTAGCCGAACAAATTGAACAAACTGAGTCGTGTGCCACAGGAGCATGACTAAGCTTATTTCTTTCTCTTCTGCTTCATCACCTGTATTTTCTAGATCTTCCTTGACTGCGGTGGCTGTTGTGTCATGGACATTCCCGCGTGTCCTCAGCAGTTGTCAGCAAGCTTGTCCCAACTTTTGTGTCTTCTTGCAGGACTTTATTGGATACAGCTAGTGATAGATGGAGATAAAACGAGGGATTCCTTTGCAAACTGTATCCTTAAGTGTCCAGATGTGAAAGAGCCTATGACTCACATGCAGTACATCATGAAAAAGATTCTCTAATTTTGGTCACTTGAGCTATTACAGGATAACATCACGAACTGTTGCGTGGTCTTGATCAGGCTGCTTCCCAACTGCTTGATCAAGGAGAGCAGGCAGAAGTCTTTTGTCAGCAATCTGAGGTGTCTGCAGATCAATGAGCAGCTGCCTGTGGGAGCTGCAATTGCCCTGGCATTCTCTGGCCAAGCAGAACAACAGGCCACCAAGTTCAGCCAACTTCTTCACACAGCTGCTGGGGGAAACACAGGTGATGCTCAGCTGGGTCTCATACTGGCCGACAGGGAGCTGGTCAGGGCTGTGATAGTCAGGGTCAGCTTTGGCTGCTTTCACCTGACATGGACCTGATACTTGCAGAGGAGTGTGAAGGCTCCAGCTGGCAGAGTTTCCTTACAAGTAAAAGAGTAGACAGGGGTGGTGCGGGCCTACTGTTGTGTTGATAAGCACAGGAGCAGAGAGGGCTGATGTGCCTCACGGCTTCTGTGCCTCTGTCTTCACCAGCAATGCTTCCCTGGCTTTCATGCCTGAAGGCAGGATTCCAGAGCACAACTGCCAAATGGTGGGAGAACTCCTCGACAGCAGCCCTGCCAAGAAGGTCTTGGGCTTCCCTGGGAGACAAAAAGCTTTACCTGTGTCAGGTAAAATTCCTTCCATGGTGGTCAACATCTTGTTGAACACAAAAAACGAACTGAGTTTTTGCATCTAGACCGCGTGCAAAAGAGTGTGGGTACGTTCACAGGCTGGAGCTTCTCCTCAAGGCAGATGAAATTAACTACAGATAAATAACTGGTAATACACATGAGGAATTTTCTGCCAACATAAGGATTTCTTGCACTCTCAGCTGAAAAACTGCTGCTCTGATATGCATGCTTCCAATTAACTTGATGGGGAAAGAATGTGTAAGTAGAAAATCTCCTATGAAGAGAGAACAAACATTTGATGAAAGGATTATTTTTGCCCGTACAGCAGGCAACTTCATCTTAACGCAACCGTCCCTGCAGACACAAAAGTCGTCTCGTAAGAGATTAAAAAACAGCTCTTAGAGTGTTTTCTCAGCTAAACCAGCTGCGAGACAGTGGGGAGACAGAATGCCATAACTGAACAGCTACTTCTATTTTAGTCAACTCCTTTGTTCAAAAGAAGTCATGATTCCACAATTAAGGGGGAAATTGGAAATAAGGGAGAGATTGGAATTTGGGAGAGCTACTCCTGCAGTGCTTATTTCCATATAAGAGTACACTGTGAAATAAGTGAGTCAAACAGGAGATGTGTAGCTACACGTAGGCCCCACTTGAATCCAACATCACAGATCAGAAAGCTAGCTTTCAAGACTATTCCAGTGCAAGGAAATCCATCAGACCAATTCTTGTGAGCGTCTCCTCTCCAGCAAGCTTCCTGCGCATGCTGAGGCATGCATTTTCATGAAGCTCAACAGCTGAGAGTTGAGGTTCAACACTTCTGAACTCTCTCTGCTGCCCAGGCAGCTCTGGCTGAGCCGTTCAAACAGAGGATGCTGTGTCACAACAGACAGATGATGACACTACTTCAGAACAAAAGGGTTGTACAAAGCCGAGGTGCCCTGCTTGAAGAATTGCTTAAAGTTCCCAGACTGCTGATCAGATACCAGCAACACTGCACACATCAGCTGTTAGGTCAGTACAGCAATAGAATGTTTGGAACCGTGCACACTGTCTCTATTACCTGCTTGCTACTCTAAAGGTATACACGTCACTTAACATTACAGTACATTCCAGTTCAGGAAATCCTTATGAAATAAACACATGACAAGCTCCCTACGTTCATTTTTGAAATCCATGTCAAACTTTAAACATGTTTTAAAATACTGATCTTTTCTTTTTTCTTTTTCTCCATGGAAAACAAACAGACGTGACAGAAGCCTGGCTCTACAGAACAACGCAATGCACGCAATGACAGCAAGTATAAGAGATTTCAGTTTTAAAGCTTGCACAACATTACTGTAATTAGCTTTTCTAGATTTTCTTTCAGACACTTCAGAACTTTCCTTTCAAATTGTTTAAATCATTACTTTATTAAATTACTTCAAATACTCTCAGCCCCACTAGAGTCTAGAATCTGAGTGGTGCTAAAGAATAATGCTTGAAGTTTCAATGGCAGCTGCTGGTTACTTGCCAGGGTTGGCTGTTCAGCTGTCTGTCAGCTAATACTTAAAAAGGTATAAAAATATTTCTCAGGCACATTCCAGCAGGCTCTAAATACAGCATCTGTGCATTAACTATGAAGTGAAATGAACATACTGTGACAGCTAGGTCATGCAAACAAGTTGGGTGCCATGCTAACTAAAGCTAATTCTGCAACCAACAGAGATGGGCAACGAAATAAAATACAGTCAGTGACACCTGAGATCGTCTCTTCATCCACTTTTAGTTGGGCATTGGCCTAAAGATTGTGAGCCAAATATTTTCATCTTGGAAAACTGATAAATGACGTAGCTGTTCAATAACTACCTGCAATGGTAAGAGAAGTGAAAGTGAGAGCTAACGCACTGTCCATAGACAACAAGAGCTTTCATGAAGCCAGGGCCTTCCACTTGCCTCACCTGCTGCTAAGGCACACTGCAGATGGCAGTGACGCCAAAGTGCCTTCAGTTCATCCTGTGGCTTTTTGGGCATCTTTTAACTCACCACCGGTTCTTGCTATGGAATCTCTGTCTGTGTATCCCTACTGGGTTTACACCGTATCTTCTGTGCTGTGACCAGAAACCAGTTGACTCACAAGACGTATTTCCAAGGCTGTGAGAACTGCAGAATCACAATGCTACTGGAACAGACTTAGTTACCAGTACGGCTCTCTCCATTGGATACTTGCCACTCAGTAAAGGTCTGCTGAGTGTATAAAGAGGTGGTAGATCTTCTACGTCTGCTGTCCTCTGCTATGCGGCTCTGGATAGGTGATCCCCATGATATAAACTCTCAAAGATGATGCTAGAGAAGTAAATTGGCTTCACAGAGAGGCTAAGGAAGGCTCCTTGAATACCCAATATGTTCCACCTAAGAGTAAAGGGAAAAAACAAAACAAAACACGTTCTTTGTAATGGAACAAGTAACATCTACCAGACATAACATCACGATGGATTTTCAGACTTGCACAGAATCACAGAATGGCTTGGGATGAAAGGGACCGCAAGGGCCGTCTAGTTCCACTCCTCTGCCACAGGCACAGCAGCCACAAACCTCCAGATCTGGAGCTAGACCAGATTGCCAGGGCCCCATCCAACCTGGCCTCGAACACCTCCAGGGACAAAGCATCCACAGCCTCTCTGGGCCGTGTTCCAGCAGCTGTTCCAGCACCTCAGCTCTCTCTCTGCACAGAACTTCCCTCTGACATCCAGTTTAAAACTTCCCTCCTTGAGCTTAGAACCATTCCCCCTTGTCCCATCACTGTCTACCCTTGTGAAAAGTTGCTCACCTCCTGTTTAAATACTGGAAGACAGCAATCAGGTCTGCCCACAGCCTTCTCTTCTCCAGGCTGAACAAGCCCAGCTGCCTCTGCCTGTCTTCATAGGGGGGTGCTCCAGCTCTCTAACCATCTTCGTGCCCTCCTCTGGACCCTCTTTAACAGCTCCAACCTCTCCTGTACTGAGGGCCCTAGACCTGGATGCAGTTCTCCAGACGTGGCTTCATGAGGGCACAGCAGAGACAATAACCTCCCCGTCCCTGCTGGCCACCCCTCCTCTGATGAAGCCCAGGAA